CACACGGGAGTCAAAATATTCATGAAAATTAGAGAATTGAAGATATCATTACAAAATGAACAAATCTGAGAGAGTACCTATATATGTAATATCAAAGCAATTGCAGTTGCAGTTTTTAACAAGAAGTCGAAAATATCACTTTTTACCGAAAATTACAAAAATATTCACCAAAATTAGAGAACTAAAGATATCATTACAAAATAAACAAATCTGAGAGCGATCCATATGTAGTACCTATATATGTAATATCAAAGCAATTGCGTTTTTTAACAAGAAGTCGAAAATATCACTTTTTACCAAAAATGACAAAAATATTCGCCAAAATTAGAGAATTGAAGATATGATAATGAAATTAACAAATCTGAGAGAGGTCTACCCAAGCTACATATATACACCAAGTATCAAAGCATTCAGGCTTGTAGTTTTCAAGAAGAAGTCGAAAAAGTAAAAAATTGACACGGACGACGACGGACAATCACTCGTATGATAAGCTATGCTCGACAAAGTCAACAGCGGAGATAAAAAGTTGAAAGTTGTTGAAATTATTACTCACCATCACCACCTGAGGCTAATATAAGTCCATTTGGAGAATATCTGACAACATTCACAGCTTTAGTGTGCCTCGTTAAACTGGCTACGAACTCAACCACTCCTTTGCCATCATTGTCTAACTTCAATTTCCAAAGCTGAGAGGACAAAAGATGAGAAAAAACTATTTAAAAAAAACTGGTGTAGTGAGCCAGGAACCTTTAATGCTCTTTCAAGAGAGCATTGTTCTAGATAACATATCAACAAATGAGAATGAGTTCTTATTGAATTTTTTTTTTTACTGAAAATTACCATCCATTGTCATTAAACTTACCCGTATATCAGTATCAGCTCCAGCTGATGCCAATCTATACACGCCATTTTTACCGCCACACTGAAAGTCCACTGTGTAGACTGGATCACGGGCATGCCAGGAAATCTCAGGTGTTGTCAATTTCATTGTTAGATCTAAACAAATAACAATGACATTGTAAATCATGTGTACAGAGGAACATCAAAAAAAAAAAAAAAAAAAAAAAAAAAAAAATATTTTCATTATTTTAATTAATTGGAAATCCAACAAGGAACTAGTCCAATTCACAGGCTTCTAAAAAAAGTAAAGATATAAACAAAGAAAAAGAAAATTAAACGTAAACAATTACAATATTCTTAAATACCAAACTGAACAGTGTGCAGGAACGATAACGATATCTCAGTGAAAATAGAACTTACATAATCATAGAATGCTGTACAACATGTGAAAGATATTAAAAGAGGATAATATGAGCAGATTTTTCAACTCACACTACAACACTTTTCTGTAATTTTTGCTAATATGTTGTGAATCCCCAAAAGTTTTATGATTTATTAAAATTTGATTGCTGGAAAGTCTGTATAACATCCTAATCCAGAGAAGAATTTTTCACGATGGCTAAGATGATAGTTGATAACCCAAAAATCCCTTTGCTATTGTATTATATCAAATTTGTCAACGAGAAAAAATTAGGTTAAATGGACTAAAATGAATAAAAGTTGACACAAGTTTCAGAATGTATAATTTAAAAAAAAAAAATTCCAACTAGCAGAGAAATTATTATGATAAATCAGACTGATCACTTGGAATTTTTTTATTATTCAGCCACCACGTCATAGTTTTACTGTCAATGCCAAATTGTTCAGAACACCCAAAACAGCAACATTGCCAGCATTTAGAGATTATTACATGATTTGAACAGGTTAGTTAAAACCATTTTTACAAGGGTGTGTCATTCTGTTAAATGCGGTCATTCACTTTTCATACTGCATCAGTCATACATTTTGTTTGGATAACTTTGTTATTTATTATAATTTATATGACGAAATGAAATAAACAGAAATTATGATTTTCTACTCAACGTGTCCATACTAGTAATATCAGTTTGATGTCTTCTGTTGAAGTATAGCGTAATGATCTCCAGCGAATAGCAAGCCCGTCAGAAACTTAACTGGCAATGTTGCTGTTTTGGTGTCCAGAACAATATGGCAGTGACAGACAGAAATAAAATTTGTTCGACAACAAAGTTCATGAGTGGAGATTGTCATTTAGTAAATCTACTTTACGTGCATGTATTCAAATACTCAATCCAGTGTAGTAGGAATGAATTCCACTAAAATAATATCTTCATGTCAGTATATTGGGGCTATATGCCCAGCGCTATTATATAAGGGAGTTGGTTTTCGAATACTGATCGTAGGAGGTCGAACATTCGAAATCACAGGGGGGGGGGGGTGTTGTTGAACAACAAATTTGCAAGCTAGTGCTAACACCGAAACAAAAAATGCATGCAAGGTGTAGGAGGAATAAATGCATTAAAGAAACAAATTGCATAGATAAGAAACTACAATAAAAAACTGCACTGGTCTCGCTCTTCCAGCCACCCCATTATTTTAAACGGTTGTCCTCTTATGACTGAAATATTTCCGAATGCGATCGCTATGACTGGAACGCATATATTACAGCGTTGTAAATGCGGAGGAAAATATTGTCAAGCGTCCGCTGTACTTGTAACGAGCACAAGCACGATGATAGATGACAGCCAACCTCACTCACAGTCACCCGATGAGGATGATCTCCTTCGTACAGAACAGGAGTTCACTTCATCGGCCTGACCTCCGAAACTCAAAAAAGTATCGCCGCTAATAGACTCAACTCTGGGCCTGCTCATGACACTCATAAATCGTGAGAAATTACGGAATGGGAATAAGATTCATGAAAACACTGTGATCAGGTCACTGCTTTCGCACTCAGCGATATACCTACCCTGAAAGATACAAACTGGCAGATGTGTAGACAACCTCTGATCAATGGCGAATCTCCCGCGAAATTGTAGCTACGCATGCGCAGAACAGCCCGTTTCAACCACAATACACTGCGCAAAACAAACTTTTAGTGGGTCAATGCAAAAGGTCAAAAATTGAATTATTTCACCGCAGTCGGCGCTATACAATATCTTTTACTTTCACATCATGGTACATGTAGATTCATGTCCTCCACGCGTCAACACTAAATACTGTGCTACAAATTGCAAAGTTTAGTAATATGAAATACGGAAATACTGAAATACTGCGGCCAATTAACCTTTAATCTCTCATTTGACATTCGTTCTCTTTCGTAATTTAACGTTCTGCGCCAAACGATAATGGTACTACTTGAACTTATTTTTAATTTATTTCAGCGAACGAATCGTTGAACAAATCACTGTATTTTTAAGCGTGTTAAACAAAATTTGATCGTATCTATATTTCCATGACAGTAAATCGGCTAATGGTTTCTACAGCCAATGATATCATTTTCTTTGAATTTGAATGAATTTTGAATTTAAATATATTTATAAATGTCCATGAAAAAATCACTTCTTCATGAAACCAAGTGTAGTATCAAGGAATTTTTATTTTATTATTTTTATTCATCTATGTTTCATGAAATTGATTCCCGCAAATTTGTTTATTTCTAAAAGACTTCCAATAGAAGGATTACGGAGTTTGCCACAATAGTGTTGCACACATTGGGTATCACAATTGAGAAAGCTCGTAATTAGCTTGAAATTGAATTCTTTTTCTAAAAATATAAGGTGTCAGACACTAACCATACATCCGATGAGTGTTACCTAACAGCAGTCGACAATGCCGGGGCAGAGGGAACAATCGGAACGCCTCAAGGGTAAATTTGTGAACAAATACAGTAGTAGTTTTTTTCCAGAAAACCTTGGATTCACACATAACATTACACACTTTTACCAGAAATACATTGCATTGTTCTACAAAACACATAACTGAATATATTAGGTTTGCATTCGACTGATAGTGCTTGGCACACTGGGTTTCTGATAGTTTGCTTATTATGAACGGGCATTTTTAATGGTCGATCTCGGGTCAATGTTGGGGTCTTAGCGCCAACACATCATATTTGATCGCGGACAACCTTATACATTTTTTGTAAATAAACAGTCCACAGAATTGCTCACAAGTCTTATTGTTTTTCAGAAAATGTAAAAAAAAAAAGAAATCCCTTAAAATAACCAAAATACGCAATAATGAAAAGAAAAAGAAAACAATAACAATAAGCAAGTCAGAGTCATGGGTAATATGAGGTAATATTGTTCACGACAATAGGTTCTCATTGAGAATGCTATAACATAACATTTAAATAGTTCCTAAATAGTTAAACTTGTAATAAGAAATCAATGTGTCCTTAGGATTCCTTGCTGAACAAATCTCCTACAGTAGAGAAATAATATGGGTTATTACGAGGATACCGAAAAGTATGCACGAAAACGGAATTATCGACCGACGCGCAGTGAAAGTCGACGCGGCGACGTACTGTCTGGGTGCATACTTTGCGGTATCCTCGTAACAACCTTATTATTAATATATATCTTTACCTCCCAATGATACATCATGGGAATGCCGAAATCCAAAAAGTTTAGAACAGAATTAGCGAACTGCTTTGTGTGGAATCCAGTCAAACCCTGGTGGCAGTCATGTTCGTTTTAATTATTAGAGGACGCTTACGCGCGTAATCATTCCTTATTTTCCTAATATGGTAGTATGAAAATACCCCGTAAAATACTTCAAAATTACGGCACGCTGTAACTTATGGCGCTACGGAGACAAATTAAATTATAATATAATGCAAATGGTAAAATGTGAAATATAACTTTCATGATTATTGAAAGATTCAGCTATCAGTCGCATCGCCAGTGCACAGTGTTGTACTCATGTTAATTTACATAAATACAAACTGTGTTTTATATGCTTCGTCATTTTGTCATATGCTCATGAATAATTCAATAACTAACATTTGACCATGGATATTCGAACGGTTATGCCTATTTGTTTTTAGAAACCTCCATCGGTAATCCAAAAGCTCGACCAGTTGCCAGAGGCTCTACCTCTAGAACCTGCATTGGAGACCACCTGAGCAAGACGGACGTATGTTTTCATGCTCTGATCTACCAGAATCGCCTTAATATGCAGAAACCCGTTAACTATTTATTAAGGTAGAGATGAAGGTTCGTGGGCACTTGGGAGTGAATTTTTTTTTGGCTTTTTATTATCCAAACAGTCTTGGCTATAGACTGTTAAAATTTCGTAGAATTGTGAATAGTGGAACATACTAAAAAAACGATTTTAAAATATAGATAACAGATGCAAACATTCTCTCTTTTGAATGCTTAGCAAGATTTAGCAAGGCTATACATAAATAATAAAAAAGAAACATAGTGAAAAAAACATAAGTTATGCAATAACTCACTGTCTAAAGGTAATTTTCAATTGTTCTGCTCACAGTATAAGAAATACCACAATACTGCAAAAACACAAGATAAATGACTGCGACTTTAAATACACGATGACTCACCATAATTCTGACCCCACTAGAAGGATGTCTGTGAATCTATTGGTATCACGGAGGAGGGGGGGGGGGTCTCTGAATAAAATAAGGTACGCAAGCTGAAGTAAAAAAAAAAAAAAAAACGCGTAAAGGGATGTTCGTTATATGACGCATATACGCGTGTATCGTGTTTAGGGTGAACAAAGGAATCTTATAAATCCATGTTACTTTGAAACATTGTGATTTTAGTATGTATATAAGGTATCTATTTTAGGTTTTGCACTTGAAAAGGGGTATAATTTCACAAAAATAAGTACGTGTTTTTTTGAAAAGCTATACTACACATGACAGCATGAGTATCAGTTCTGACTTGGAGTACCCCCCCCCCCCGTGTATATGAGGATTGAAATAGATTACCACGTCTTTCCCGTCGACGATGAAGTACAGAACACCGAAATAGACAGTGACCATTACAGAAAATAAAACAAAAACGCCGACGCCAACATCAACGAATGCGAACGAGTCTAAGAATGAAGAAGTTGAAAAACCAGTAAATCAGAGCAACAAGACACAAACAGAGCGATCCTTCAACATAAATACAAAATGACGAATCACACGGAACTAAATCGGGACAAAAAACGACAACTCTCAACAGAAAACAAACCAATAGACGGAAACGAACAACAGTAATCGCAACGTATGCAATAAACCAAGCAGGACTGCATTCCGACAAAAACAAAATCACCGAGAAGAAGGTAAAGGGCGGCAGTCGTCACGCCGCGTCCTGTTCGATATGGGACTCATAGCGACGTATGCAACGCTGTAAAATACATTGTTTATTTACATGAAAATTTAACACGCGCTGCGCGACGACCACCGCGCTTAAACTAAAAGTCTTGAAGGTAAACTTATTAACAACAACTCAAGTGAACAATTTGTTCCATATATTATCTTAGTACCGCTCTAAGTAGAAAATGCAAAACTCCGAAATAGCATGCATCTTTCTAGAACTTGTCACTTCGATATTATTTGCTTACAAGAAATAATTTGGATAACGATTGGAAAACGATTATTTTGTTTTTCACAATATTTGCCCTTCACCAGGGTACTAGGCGGGGTATTTGTTGTTTAATAAGCAACAATCCGGTATCACGTAACCTATGTTAAATCAGATGATGTTGACTGTATAATACAAATCGAATGCGACATTGACGATAGAACTGTTAACATTGTTAATATTTAGGCTCCAAATATTGCAATAGAGCACATGACGTTTTTTGACAGTTTTAATATGTTTCCGCCCAGACGATAACTATTATCGGAGGAGATTTTAATTGACGTCTGACGAATGCAGCACAACAGAAATTACTTGGCGTTCCTATGACAGTGTTAACAATGTACTTTTCGCATACATTATTGCTTAGTGAGTGAGAAATGTTTTCATTACTGCGTGTTAACTGATATTGTTAGTTACTTATATAGTGACTATAGTATATATAATAAAGTGCAACTTGAAGATGATAAAGGGCCAGGCATCTGGAAATTCTACAATAGATTTTTGAGTGATAAGTCAATGAATAGAGAGCTGAATATTAATAATACATTTTGTTGGTGGGAAAGTTTAAAAGATCAAATTCAGTAATTATGGCAGTAGTTATGATTCACAATTCAAACAGTGCTGTTTGAAATATAATTTTTACAATTATAACCAATTAAATATATTCATAATGCTAATATAGAAGTTTTAAATGTCTTCCAAAAATATTTCAATTTTAATAAAAGCGATTACAAATTCGTGAAATGATAGACGATGAAATACAATTGATATTTCAAATATACCTGAAGTTATTCGAAAAACTGAATTTATTTTCAATTCGCTCAATACAAAGAATTATGTATTGTCGTCGCCGCCTCGTTAGCGCAGTAGGCAGCGCGTTAGTCTCATAATCTGAAGGTCGTGAGTTCGATCCTCACACGAGGCAGTAATTATGATTCACAATTCAAACACTGATGTTTGAAATATAATTTTTACAATTATAACCAATTAAATATATTGATTATGCTAATATAGACGTTTGAAATGTCTTCCAAAAATATTTCAATTTTAATATAAGCGATTACAAATTCGTGAAATGAAACACGATGCAAAACAATTGATATTTCAAATATACCTGAAGTTATTCGAAAAACTGAATTTATTTCAAATTCGCTCAATACAAAGAATTGTCATTGTCATCGCCGCCTCGTTAGCGCAGTAGCAGCACGTCAGTCTCATAATCTGAAGGTCGTGAGTTCGATC